TACGCCCTGAGGAAGGTCGCAGAATGGCGACCCAAACGTCGGCACCTTTGCCATGGACGCGGCGTCACCCGGACAGCCTAGTAAAAATCATACCTCTTGAATTCACACTATTAATTCTAGGAATGGTTAATGGTTATTGGACCTTTCATTGAAAACGAAGTCCTAGTTATTGCTTACGAAACGTTCGGATACTATGAGATTTTACAATAAAATGACAGACATCATTAAACATTCCTAAAAATACCCGATATTTCATTTACCCTGTTGTAGGCTGTTATCTGTGAAAATCCACAGCAATATATTTGTCATAAACTATACTATAAGATTTCGCGAGAAACATTTTGTATGAAATTGACACTGCAGCCAATCAGTAGTGATTAGCAAGTGTTATTTCTAAATTCAAATATTGGATTTATTGAAAATAAATCGGAAGTTTACAGTGCCGGTTCCTTTGACACGAAAAGTTTCGTAAAACAGAAAGGTTCTCAACGAGGAGAGCAGATGAATCTGTGATACAAGTCAATCATTATTTATGCGTTACAGTTAAACATTAGTTTTAAACAAAACGCACATATTAATACTACAATTGAATAGTAATACTATCATCATTAATACACACCGTGTGCCAAAATATTTGTACACATTATTTACATATTCTACAATGACAAGTTTGTATTCTTAAATCTGTGCAATATGCTTTATATTTCTTCTGCCACATTGCTGCTTACGTAAGATGCGCTAATTCACATTTTGGTGAGGCAGGTAAAATAAAATTAGTTGTTAGGCTCAAATAAGTCATTATTTTTAGATGCAGAACAGTTTCTCTTTCATTTTTTCTCCTTAGTCACTTTTTGGCACTCTCCTCTTCCCTACAGCTGTCCTCCGTGTTAGCTGTCTGCCATGTTAGGTTGCTGATATTACACGTGTTAAGTTTTAACTGTTATTACAAGACAACTGTTATTCCGATAACCGATATTGATGAAAAGCCCATCTCTAGTTCAAACCAAAGGAACTCCTCCTTCTGAGAAGGTACCAACGGTACTAACTTCATTTAGAAGACTTTTTCCCGGTCAAGATGACCGCGCTGACCTGGTAATATTTCCAGTCATTCCTTGTCCCTCGCACGTGAAGAAGTCCCTCGACGCATGCGCCGTGGACGTAAAGCCTCCCTTCTTTCTTCCCCGCATCCTTCTTCGTGGAAATGAGGCTGACGCTTTGAGATGCCCTTGGCAATCAGGCTTAGTTTTGTTCATTATTTTTTGATTTTATTTATTATAAATATTATTAATTATAAATTAATAAACATGATCACTGTCAAATCAAATGTTACAAAAAACTACCCGTTATCTCACTTTATCCCATTATTATCTAGTTACTTACGCATCGTCCGTTATATCCTCATCGTCCGTTATATCCTCATCGTCCGTTACATCCTCATCGTCCGTTAGATCCTCATCGTCCGTTATATCCTCATCGTCCGTTATATCCTCATCGTCCGTTATATCCTCATTGTCCGTTATATCCTCATCGTCCGTTATATCCTCATCGTCCGTTATATCCTCATCGTCCGTTACTTATCGCGCGTCAACGTAACGCTCGTGCGGCATAGGCTTTAATGGACGTACTGGCGTCCGTGAATATACGTACGTTGCAACGTGCGTTTCGCGACGCTCGGGTGCAATGCCTGTAGAGTGTAAAGTGAATTGCAAGGGCGAGGGCTCACGTGGTAGTGCGCGGGGCCGGGGGTTTCTGGCGGCTGGCGCATGCGCGGCGCCGTGTCCATGACGCCCAGGCGCGCGCCCAGCACCGACTCCACCCGCGTCTCGTACGTGCCAGGCCCTGCAGGCATGTACCCACTTTACTATGCATGACCAATGACAAGCTACCGACGGTTTTGCCGAGAAAAATCACGAGGTTAAAAATCTTTCAAGATAAATTGTATTGAAAATAATTGTAGACAACATTTTTCAATGACCTTTTTCGAAATTCTATATACCTAATTTCTGTTGAGATCTCTATTAATCTACTGTTGCCTAGCCCAATCTCATATGAGGACGCACAATTCTGGCATTGCCGGATTTGGTACTTTTGCTACGATCTGCGAATTCTATATCTTTAATATATGTCGACATCCTTATGTCTAAACATATACGAGCAAACATTCGTATGTACGATTTGGCGTTCTTGGATGTTAGATGTCGATTTAGTCGAGATCGCTTGAGCGTTGTACGCTCCTGACCAGCCTGAATTCGTGACTTGCATCGCTTCGATTCATGTAAAACCGTTCTTAGCTGCTACATACCTTTGGTTCAGGCGGAGGGAGAAAATCTCACAACAAACGTCGAGAAGTGTATCTATTGAAATTGATAGCATTATGCAGTGTTTATCAAAGATGGCTTTTAACAGTTGTTCGCATAGCGAAAATTGTAAATTGTAAATTTTAAAAAATCTACACCCCACATCAATTTGTCTCTGTATTTTAAAGAAAATAGTCTATGTGTATATCTGTGTATGATAAATGGTGCTGGTTGTGTGGTAGTTCTAAATGATTTATACTATTTATTAATACTACGATCAGTGGTTGCTCATCTCATCAAACCAAATTACGCCACTGTCAATGGTCACAACTGGAAAGTTTATGCAGGCTTCTGACCCTCGGATACGCAACAAAAAAAAGTTGAAATATGCACATTTTTTTATGAAATGTGAATATTTTGCATTGGCATTTACATATTTTCCAACACACAACGTAAGGAATGTGCAAATTATGGATTACTTGTACTCATATTTTTCACTCGTTTTGAACTTGTTTTCACGTTGTCGATGTTTTGGTAGTGAATGAAAAATTACTTGAATCATAATTTTGTAAAAGTTAAAATATAAAATAACAAGTGGTTCGAATACGTAAGTTGAGTTTACTGTCAGTTTATATGTTCGAACGAAACTTCTACATCATTCACTACATTCATTGTGGAGACACTCTCGCCCGAGATGACCCCGACGTCCTGATAGTTTCGACGACTTTCCTCATATTTCGCGCATGGAGATGTGGTCAACGTGTCCCCTCTGGACGAAGGGCGTCCTCCCTTCTACCCCTACCTTTCTTCTACGAAGTGACAACTGAACCTTTCAGATGAATTCGGACGCTTTCATTATTATTATTATTATTATTATTATTATTAAACTTCGTTTTCGTTTAAATCCCATTCATTATAAATTAATAAACACAGCCACTGTCAAATTCAATTTTGTTGCTCACGTTTTTAACGTTAGAGGTTACCAAACCAGCTTCAAAACCTTGATGTTTAAAAACAATGACGTTTTAATTTTGAACACCGATGTTTCGTAACGTGGATGTTTGTTATCGATATCGCATCTCTAGCCCGAACGTCATCTACCGCCGCCCGGGGCCATGAAAGAATGCAGAGTCTTCCTCGGCCCTCTGGAAATCACCGCAGCTCCTTTAAGTAGCGCGAGGGAGGGGGAAGGGGCTGGACGGAGCGGGGAGGGGTGGCGCGCTTCCAG